ACCCTCTCGGGCGAACGGGGTGTCAGAGCCCTCTAAGAGAAAGGCCTTAAACCCAGTGCGTCCAACGTCGCTAACACCACCCAGCGTTGGCGACATCGCATTCTTCAAGGCGGAGGAAGCTCCGTTTGTGCTGGGGGAGGTGCTGAGCATAGCTGCAGACGCCTCGCCGGTGAACGTCAACATCCACTGGTATGGGCCTATCAACAATACCGTTAGGGCGGGAGCGGGCAGCGCGACTGTCGAGGACTATGCCGTGGCGCGTTTCAGCAAGGATTTCATCCTAACGAGCGGCGCGAAGCGCAGAACGCCCGATGCCAGCGACGAGCCTATCACACGCATTATCGCATGCTGCAGTTCGCTAACTTCAACGGGTAACATCCCGGCGAGAATTAAGAAAGTGCTGATGGAGACTTGCCGGCCTGCACCTTCGCCGTCCTCGGAGCGCGAAGCAAGTGACTCGGACGACGACGGGTCTGGAAGCGGACTCTGAGGAAGACGAGTCCGATGACGACGGCTATGGTTCAGACTAGTCCTGGCGCCTAGCAGGGACTAGATTGATGTCGAGACCGGGGCGTTCTGGGGATCAAGAAGATTTGTACTAGCGGTTTTGCGCCGTACGATGGTCGACATTTGTCAACTTCGAGCTCTGTACCCAAATCTTGTCGTAGGGGCTGTGGGTCTTTCCATCATAGTAACATAACCTTCGAAGTGCCGTGTGCTCAGATTTTTATTTTTTGCTAGTGCGTCAGGGAATCTTTCGAAATTGACCGGAAAACACGCGTAAGAACTCGTAAGAAATCTGTGTCTGCCCGGGGGGTAGGGGGGGTGGGGGTGTTGAACCAGGTGCGGTTTCGGATCCTTGGCGGCGGAACTATCGTGATTTTCGGCGTTGCCGATAGTGATAGCTCGGGCGAAAGGGCATGTGTTCGATTTGGAAGACGCCCGAGGATGTTTTTCGTTGGAGCGAAAATAAATTATTTGGCACTTTTGGTGCGCCAACCTGCCCAAACATTTTCTCATTAAAAAAAAATCTCAGTAAGTATAATCTGATGCCCCTCTGTGTACAAAGATACAACGTCTGCGCTCTGCAGTATCGTGTTGTCGTGGTTACTTTGCTTTGATGTGTGAGAAATCATGACCCGCAGAGAGAGAGCCTCTCTGTTCCAATTTTTTTGTCCTCTGAAACACGTACACACGCACACGATTTCGTCTATCGCTCACCTCACTACCGCCTTCAGCAGCGGGCTACGGGTACCGACAAACACATCTGACGCCTCTCTGCGATACATGGATATGTCCTTTCGCGTTGTGTAGCATTGGTCGTTGATGGTTGCTCTACTTCAAGGTACACAGAAACGAGGCAACCTTGACGCCGTTTATCAGCCGTTAGGGTGAGAATGCCCGCTGTAGAACTTGTGTGTGTGTGTTTTGGTATCTCTCTCTCTGGCTCTGTCTGTCTGTCTCTCTCTCTCTCTGTCTCTCTCTGTCTCTGTCTCTCTCTCTCTCTCTCTCTCTCTCTCTCTCTCTCTCTCTCTCTCTCTC